TCTCATGAACACTTGACAATAACTGTGGAACACACAACACTATTTATACACTCATACACTTATTTATCTAACACACATACTTCGTCTACACCTCAAATTAGCACATAATATACCTGTACATACAAAACTGTCTATTGTATTTTTTATTCTTCTTTTATTATCTGTGTTTTTGTTCTGTCACTGTCATTCTGTTGCACTGCGGAAGCTTCTGTCATGAAAACAAATTCCTCGTATGTGAAAACATACCTGTCAATAAAGCTCATGCTGATTCTGATTCTAAATAACAACATTTAAATATAATGTAAATGTAAATAACAAAACAAAAAAAAAATTGAAATTTTAAAACAAGCCCCAAATCAAATAAGTTACACAAATAAAAGAAATCTCTTCATATAAACAAACGAAGGCTTTGTCTGTGCTCTTTCCATCTCCATTTAGAGGCAACCACTGCATTTTAATCATGATCCAAACAAAGATGCTGCATACATGCAACATAAGCAGTTTTTAATCTAAATTACATTGTATAATTTCGAAATTTGAAGCAAAAACAGAATGGTTTGACTTCAGTTGTGAAATTATGCATAAAAAATATCTGCATGAAACAGAAACAGAAACAGCAGAGCTGAATGAGACTCAGATTCACTCTCTGCCAGCAGGTGGCGCTTAAATGTTTCCTTGGTTTCCTCTGTAAACAAAGCAGCGCTGCACTTATGAACTTTAAAGGGATACTCCACCCCAAAAGGTGTGCACAAAGTGAACCATTACAAAACACTGTAATGCACAGCCTTGAGTGGAGCATTGCTACAGCAGTATGACAAAAGCCAATAATAATAATAATCAATAAGTAAATATATTTATGATAATTCTTCCATCAACTAGACAGAATAAAGATAGATAGATAGATAGATAGATAGATAGATATATAGATGTTGATTGCTTCTATTGTCCTCATTTGTTAGTCGCTTTGGATAAAAGTGTTTGCTCACATCCAGCACACTCCCTCTTTGAACTGTTGCCATCTGGTCGACGCTACAGAGCTCTGAGCACCAGAACGACCAGGCACAGGAACAGTTTCTTCCCTCAGGCCATCCATCTCATGAACACTTGACAATAACTGTGGAACACACAACACTATTTATACACTCATACACTTATTTATCTAACACACATACTTCGTCTACACCTCAAATTAGCACATAATATACCTGTACATACAAAACTGTCTATTGTATTTTTTATTCTTCTTTTATTATCTGTGTTTTTGTTCTGTCACTGTCATTCTGTTGCACTGCGGAAGCTTCTGTCATGAAAACAAATTCCTCGTATGTGAAAACATACCTGTCAATAAAGCTCATGCTGATTCTGATTCTAAATAACAACATTTAAATATAATGTAAATGTAAATAACAAAACAAAAAAAAAATTGAAATTTTAAAACAAGCCCCAAATCAAATAAGTTACACAAATAAAAGAAATCTCTTCATATAAACAAACGAAGGCTTTGTCTGTGCTCTTTCCATCTCCATTTAGAGGCAACCACTGCATTTTAATCATGATCCAAACAAAGATGCTGCATACATGCAACATAAGCAGTTTTTAATCTAAATTACATTGTATAATTTCGAAATTTGAAGCAAAAACAGAATGGTTTGACTTCAGTTGTGAAATTATGCATAAAAAATATCTGCATGAAACAGAAACAGAAACAGCAGAGCTGAATGAGACTCAGATTCACTCTCTGCCAGCAGGTGGCGCTTAAATGTTTCCTTGGTTTCCTCTGTAAACAAAGCAGCGCTGCACTTATGAACTTTAAAGGGATACTCCACCCCAAAATGAAAATTTTGTCATTAATCACTTACCCCCATGTCGTTCCAAATCTGTAGAAGCTTCGTTCGTCTTCGGAACACAATTTAAGATATTTTGAATATCTGGATATCAGAATATCCACTGAATGCAAGCAGCGTACGCTCTTCTGTGTCAGCCGCGACACAAGGATACGTTTTCTACATGTATTTACGCTTTGATTTGAACAAAAACAGCGCATCCCTGTGGCGCGGCTGACACAGAAGAGTGTACGCTTCTTGCGTTCAGCAGATATTCTCCAAAATGGCGCTACGGTGATGCGGAGAGACACATTCGTCTTCGGAACACAATTTAAGATATTTTGGATGAAAACCGGGAGGCTTGTGACTGTCCCATTGACAGTAAATAACACTGTCAAGGTCCAGAAAAGTATGAAAGACATTGTCAGAATAGTCCATCTGCCATCAGTGGTTCAATCTGAATTTTATGAAGCGACGAGAATACTTTCTGTACGCGAAGAAAACAAAAATAACTTTATTCAACAATTCTGAAAGACTCTGTGTCTCTCCGCATCACCGTAGCGCCATTTTGGAGAATATCTGCTGAACGCAAGAAGCGTACACTCTTCTGTGTCAGCTGCGCCACAGGGATGCGCTGTTTTTGTTCAAATCAAAGCGTAAATACATGTAGAAAACGTATCCTTGTGTCGCGGCTGACACAGAAGAGCGTACGCTGCTTGCATTCAGAGGATATTCTGATATCCAGATATTCAAAATATCTTAAATTGTGTTCCGAAGACGAACGAAGCTTCTACAGATTTGGAACGACATGGAACGACATTTTCATTTTGGCGTGGAGTATCCCTTTAATATGCATTATACCGAGGCAAGAGGAAAATAAAAGAATACCATCGAAAGACAGTAAGTTCCCCTCAGACATACATTCATATAAACTCTTACCCCTAACTGAATCACGATTTTGTTATTTACTGTCAATGGGACAGTCACAAGCCTCCCGGTTTTCATCCAAAATATCTTAAATTGTGTTCCGAAGACGAACGAAGCTTTTACTGTTTTGGAACAACATGGGGGTAAGTGATTGACAAAATTTTCATTTTGGCGTGGAGTATCCCTTTAATATGCATTATACCGAGGCAAGAGGAAAAGAAAAGAATACCATCGAAAGACAGTAAGTTCCCCTCAGACATACATTCATATAAACTCTTACCCCTAACTGAATCACGATTTGTTTAGCATCTCAACCGATTTGAATCGTCACATTTAAATCGATTTTCAACCGGCTCGCGGTTAATCGTTACATCCCTAATTATTTATTATAGTAATTAATATTATTAATATTAATTTTTACATTGGTGTATTTGATCATATATCTGGAATCTCATTAGCCCACAAAGATTTAATCATATTATCAAAACATTACAGCTGCAATATTAAAAACTACTTCTAAACCAAGTGAAGTATAATGGAAATGAACTTGGAGGTCACTGGCTGTAACCCAGCTCTCAAATAAACCCCTGGGCTTAAGAGAAGCACTTACACTCTCTCCTCAGGAGAGAAGAGCACTGATCTGGAAACAGGTGATGTGGAGCGATTCCTCTTCATATCAACCTGAGGTCACCTTGTGTGCGAGCTGCTCCGTGAGACACGCTGTCAGCACATCTTAGTCCGGACCCCCTCTGTTAGAGTTCCTCTCCATCTGTATGCCATTAATTATCTTTATTATACACACACCTTCGCTAACACCCCACACACATACACAAAGAAAAAAAAATGAAAGTTCCTCTAATCTTCCCCATTCCTCTCCGGGAGATAAAACGCTGATCACACATGCTGCCAGCTCAGACGATTAACATGTTTATGAGATAGTCCATCAGGCAAGGAGATAAGGAATAATACACTGAGCTGTGCCAAGGTCAGGAGAAGGCTTGTGAAACATGCGGCCCAGAGGAGGAGCGGGATGGAGAGGGACACCGGCGGCCGTACTGCAGATTAGAGGCAGATGACAGAGTTTTAAGGATTAGGCATATGATTTTTACAGTCAGCTTCACTTCAGAGAGATCCCATCGCCGTGGGGAAATAAGGCAGCCAGGCAAAGGAGTGGGCCAAGTCCACCTGCATGGCAGCCTCTCATCATCCACTCTGTTTCAAGAGCGTTGACTTTAAAGTGCTGGATGTGATGCCCAGGTGTTGTGACGGAGAGCCAGTGTACCAGATTACGCTTGGATATTGTCAATCTAGTTTTACAGATTCAGTGCGTTTGGCTTCATAACAAACATAAACTAGAGTACTTCAATTTCTTTATTTATCTACCATATTCATGTTCCCAAGAGCCAATTTTTGCTTCTTACATTTATTTAAAGGAGCTTTAGTAACTTTTTTCTTATTAAAAGGTTTTACACCAGTGTTGTTTTTGTTAAACTATTTTAAATCATTTTTGTTAAACTGAAATAAGATATTAAATATTAGATGAAAAATTCCTCAGTTGCCTGAAATACTAGTGAAGTACTAGAATTATTTAAATTGAAATAAAAATAAACTGGAGGTAAATAGGAACAAATATAAAAGCATGAATGAGTTAATTAAAAAAAAATACTATGATAGAATAAATATAAATAATACTGTTTTACACATAAGGAAATTAATACTTTCAAAAAATGTTTAAAATCACATACACTCAAAGACTCCAGTCAAATGTAAACAATATTAATTACATGTAAAACATTGTTATGGATAGTTCACCTAAAATTTAATTTCTTTCATCATTTCCTCACCCTCATTTTGTTCCAAAAAATAGATATTTTGAAGAATCTTGGTAACCATTACTTTTCCCCATACTATAGAAGTCATTGGCTACCAGCAACTGTTTTGTTACTATTCTTTAAAATATCTTGTGTTCAACAGAAGGAAAATTTGCTTGCGGAATAAATACATTGTGGCTGCATTTCTACAAAGGCATCGGTAACTGATGTCACTTTATGTTCAGTTTAAAATACATGTTCACCTGTGCCTCTTTATTTGACATGTTCAATGAGTAGCACGTGTCCCAGCTGTCATTCTGGACCTGCAGCCAGGAGGTGATCACTTTGGCCCTGAGGATTTTCATCTGTCTTTGAATGAGGTACATAAACACTTTAACAACCTACGTTAACACACTCAAGCATAATACTTCAGCATGCTGGCTATTATAAAGCTTCGGATTAATCATTAAGGTTGTCCTTACATAAACGTCATGATCACGTAAAACTTAATTTTAGCATTATAGACATACTTTTTTCTCTCACAGTTTGATGTCACACATTAACTTATACTGTACTGTTGTTTGAATGCTGTTAGTGAGACTAACAGCTCAAGTTTACAGCTTTATGTCATGGTGTATTTTTCTTTCTTTCACAGAGTGCCTGACAGTTAGCCTTTCTTTACACAGAACTTGGACTAGACCATCAAAAAAACTCGACAGAGACAAAAAGAATGGTCAAATAACCTGACTGGCAAGTCTCATAGACCACGAGACTAAATTATATGTGTATGTGTGAGTGAAAAACAACCAGACAAAAAAGTTTTTCAGATTTTTCTTAATAAACCAAACGTTTATTTTGTTACATAGATGCTAGTTCCTTTTGAATAAAAGTTCATCTGACAAAAACAGTTTGCATCACTGGGCAACTTGCCGGTTCACACTTAACACAAAAGATACACACTATCACAATAATATGGAGTGAGATTTTGGACCAATGACATTTCAAGGTGGGCGGGACTAGCCAGCATGACACCACCGAAATAAAACAAGGAATAGATAGCCTTTATCGTTTGTCACTGTGTCGGTTAAGTTAGGACACATCTTCTAGAAAGTATCTTCAACACTTGTACAGAATATCTAGTGCAGGCAAGTAGCAGGCTTTCTCAGAAACATAGCACTCAGATGCATGGTTTGGGTGAAAGCGCTGTTTGGTGGAATATTCCAGGAGCAGTCCTTGCCCTTGAGATGTCAGAATTCTGGATTTAGAGAAAGTCTTTTGACTTATTGGCAGTGTACTTAAATGCACAGTAAGAGTATCTGGCAACTCACTAACTAAAGACAAGTCTGTTGTAGTATCCTTGCCGAAGTTTAGAACCACCAGGAAGGCTTTGTTGAGTCCATCCAGCTCACGCAAATAAGCGAATACATTGACATCACTCCAGATGAAGCAGAACCAGCCTCGGGACAGGGCCAACTCAGCCCCTTTGAGCAAAGTCAGAGCACGATACTGTGAAATGGTGGAGTTTGGATCAGCCTGCTGAAGCTGGAGAGAAAAATATGACCTGGGATTAGAGGTTTTCCTACTTTTAACATACTTGTCAGCAGTCTGAATCAATGTACCTCCACATTAACAGTGCTGTAGTCTGGAGCGATGTCTAGCCATGTGCCATTTTCACTGTCACTAAAACCAGCATTGAACTGATCGTTCCACTGCATTGGTGTTCGCTGCGGGTCCCGACTGTTGCTCTAGATTTTAAAAGAAAAAATATATATTTTATTTTTAAAATAATGCATTAAGTTGATCATTTCTAAAAGCTTTTTTAAAATTGTAATAATATTTCACAATATACAGTATAGAAAATAATCACCCCTCTTTAAAATTATCACATTTTGTTGCTTTGCAGCCTGAAATGAAGACAGGCGCAGTTTTTGTTTTATCCAGCTGTATTTACTCAGTGCAACTTATAACATCCAAGTGAAAGATATAACATCAACATGCCAGAAAAAAAATAAAATAAAATAAAACAGAATCACTGAGTTGGGAAAAGAATCACCCTCCTCATAAAATGACTTGTAGACTCAATCAGATGGAGCTAATCACCTTCTCAATGGCACACAAAGCTATTTGACTTTCAACTGTGCTCATTTTGATTAGCTCAGCATTAAAAGAGCCTTCCTGGAGTATTTCAGTCCTTGGTAATGCAACTGAAGCAAACAATCAACTATGGGTGGCAAGGCACTGTCAAAAGATCTCCGGGATAAAGTTGTGGACAGGCATAAGTGAGAATCACCTTCTCAATGGCACACAAAGCCATTTGACTTTCAACTGTGCTCATTTTGATTAGCTCAGCATTAAAAGAGCCTTCCTGGAGTATTTCAGTCCTTGGTAATGCAACTGAAGCAAACAATCAACTATGGGTGGCAAGGCACTGTCAAAAGATCTCCGGGATAAAGTTGTGGACAGGCATAAGTGAGAAGATGGATATAAAACATTTCTAAGGCTTTATGAATGCCTAGAAGCGCAGTGCTCAATTCTCCTACTCAATTGCACACAAAGCTTTCCTGGAGTATTTCAGTCCTTGGTAATGCAACTGAAGCAAACAATCAACTATGGGTGGCAAGGCACTGTCAAAAGATCTCCGGGATAAAGTTGTGGACAGGCATAAGTGAGAAGATGGATATAAACCATTTCTAAGGCTTTATCAATGCCTAGAAGCGCAGTGAAGTCTATTATTAAGGCGTGGAGGGTATTTGGTAAGTAGTCATGGTACAGCTCAAACTCTGTGTCCACAGTCGACTGAAGGACATCAACAAAAGAAATAAAGAAAATAACACTGTTGTTAGTCACACTGCACACTTAAAAATGTGTAATCTTACTAAATAAAAATCGTTAATTACTAAATATGGTATACACTATTTTTTTTTAATGAAATTAATATTTTTTAAGCAAGGACACGTTAAATTGATCAAAAGTGTCAATAAAGCATTTATAATGTAAAAAATTTTGTTTAGAATAAATGCTGTTATTTTGAACATTCTAATTATTAAAGTATTCTGAAAAATGTCCATAATATTAAGAAGCACAACTGTTTTCAATGGAAGTCAATGGGGTAAGGCAAGGCATTGTACATTTAGAAAATAAATTAATAAGGCTGATGATACATGGGGCAACTTTTTTTGAGCAATGTTGATTGGGCATTTTCACATTGAGAATGGATAACAAATGTCTATCTGGATACTTTAGATCGGTCATGGGCCCCGTGTCATCTGGTTGCCCGTTGGCGGCAACATTGCTCAAAAAGTTGCCCCGTGTATCATCAGCCTAAAATCTGTCTGTGCTGAATAAAAATCCAAGTAAAAAATAAAAAATAAATGTATTATGATGATAATGCATAACCAGAATGCCATCTAAATAGACCAGCAGTCCTTCCACTAAAGAAACACTAAAGAAAACTTTTACTGCTCAAAAACAGATATCCGTGTATGAAATAATGCTTTTACAGAAATATAAAACACATTTCGGCGTTTATACCTTCTGAAATGTCTTGCCTTGAAAATTATTTCCGATGGTAATCAACATGTCACAGATCAGTTTTAACTTGCGTTGAACCCGGAACATTACTCTAAGTTAATTCTAACAAGTCCATGAGGAGCAGAAAGACAAATCACTGAAGAAAATGGCCAAGACCATTGAGTCGTTTCCCTAGATCTTCAGTGGCTTTGAAATCATCTGGAATTAGGATAATGGGAATGACTTGCCAGTAAATCCATAGAAATATGCACTAGTAATCCTTAAATGACATTGTGAGAACAAAGAACAGTAATATGACTCCTCCTGAATGAATTCGAAGAACATTTTTGACAACAAATAAGTGTGTAAACTGAATGTTTTCATTTTCACGTGGTTATATAGCATTGTTGGGCTTACTGGATCTTGGTCAGGGTCGACCTGGGGTTCATTTCTCAAATGGGTGGCCTCAAGCATGTGTTTCACAGCGTCCATGCGGAACCCATCCACCCCCTTCTTCAGCCAGAAATGGATTATGTCCTATTAAACAGATGTGGAACAAAGAGGGTCCATGTTTGTAATGAAACATGATATGGTATGGTGGATTGCAGATCTGCATAAAGAACCTTTTTGTTGAAGAGCTTGAAGGCCAATGTTCCTCCCTCCACATTATTTAAAAATATAAGGCCCTGACATAATGCTGAACACAATTCACTTTTTCTAACATTTAAACATGCTGTATTACTCATCCTGTGTAAATGAAACATAAAACGGTCTATTACTTTATGTAAACGCATAACTTACTAGTTTCAGAGAGGTTACTCTATTACCAATGGCAGAATAAGACACTTTAACCAGCCAGTGTTTAAATAGGTGGTAACTTCATGCTCAAGTGGGCTAAAGCCCCATTACATAAGACATTCATTCAGACATAGTACCCCATTTTCTTAATATTCTTTCTCATTCTCTCAAAGCAACATTCACGCATTCATTCCAAAATCACATTCATTATATATATAAAAAAAGTAATGTAAATTAAAATCTTAAAAAGTCATGGAAAAATATTTTTGCAGTTAAGCTCAAGCGCAAACATTTAATTGGCTACAAGAAAAAAACACACACACACACAACACAAGCGAGCTTGTACTGCTTGTTGCTTTGTCTCATCTGCATAATGTTCATAGTCAAGCCGTTATATGCAAGCTTCATTAGCGCTGCCTTACCGTCATCTCCTCTATGACTCGGGGGTTACGGTAGTTCAGATCCGGCTGTTCTTTGAGGAACTGATGGAAATAGCACTGTTGTCGCATCTCATCATACTCCCAGGTGGAATTCCCGAAGACACTCACCTGATGAAGCAAACAATGTGACGCTATAGTCAACCACATCTTATTACTTATATGCAGTTGAGTTTCATTCAATCCCAATAGTAACAAATAAATAAATAGTGTGGAGTATAACGTGGGATGGAATATAACAGATGAGCATTCTGAATAGCACTGATTCTTTATGTCAAGCCATAAAATTCAAGATCCAAATTACTGACCCCAAACTTTTGAACTGTAGTGTATATTGTTAGAAAATATTTCTATTTTAAATAATTTCTCTTCTTTTTAACTTTTTATTCATCAAAGAATAATCACAGATTCCAAAAAAATATTAAGTAGCACAACAGTTTCCAGCACTGATAATAAATCAGCATATTAGAATGATTTCTGAAGGGTCATGTGACACTGAAGACTGGAGTAATGATGCTGAAAATGCAGCTTTGCATCACAGGAATAAATGAGATTTTAATGTATATTAAAATAGGAAAACATTATTTTACATCATAATAATATTTCACAATATTAAATTTTTTCCCTGTATTTTTGATCAAATAAATGCAGCCTTGATGAGCATAAGAAACTCCTGTAAAAAACATTAAAAATTGTTCTGATCCCAAACTTTTGACCGGTAGTGTGTGTCTAATAATGCTTACCAAAATTAAAGAAATTATAGAAAAAATATAAATAACGTAAAAATGTAAAAGAAATATAAAAAAACAAACAAAATACAAAAATAAATAAAAATAATAAAAGTCCAAAATTACTAAAACATTGATCAAATAAATGCAGCCTTGATGAGCATAAGAAACTCCTGTAAAAAAACATTAAAAATTGTTCTGATCCCAAACTTTTGACCGGTAGTGTGTGTCTAATAATGCTTACCAAAATTAAAGAAATTATAGAAAAAATATAAATAACGTAAAAATGTAAAAGAAATATAAAAAAAACAAACAAAATACAAAAATAAATAAAAATAATAAAAGTCCAAAATTACTAAAACATAAAAAAACAAATCAATGAAATGAAAGCTGAAATTGAATGCCAAAATAACAGTGCAATGAAGGGAATAACAATTTCACATTGATTCATGGCAACATATTTTTTACTCTATTAACCTGTAGTGTTTTACCTTAAAGATCACAAATTACCTTTGAGGTCTCCAACACCATCAGCATTTGAATCTTTGAATGATCGTGGATAAACCTGATAGACCGGAGACAGCTGCCACCAGCTCATGCATCGAGGTGACAGCGCCACGATCGTAACGGTCATGGCAATAAGGGCCAAGGTGCATGCAATGATCAGCCAGAAAATAATCTCTCGAGGTATGCGGTAGCAGGCTTTGCTGGAGTGTAACATCAGGACCTCTTTGGGCATCCCAGCATACGGCTTAATCTGAGTGCACTCGTTCTCCTCCGACCCAGTGACAGAGACGCTGGTGGCCTGCTGCTCTCGAGTGCTTGATGCATCGGATGTATCATCATCTTCTTGAAAGGCTTCATTCTGAACGCCTTCTTGCAGCTCCAACGCGTCGATGTTGGTGATTTTGGTCGAACTCATCTTTCTTGCTTCATTCAGTCCCAAAGAACAACACTTGTAAGAGCCGACACGGAGGGAGTCCTGTTAAACAGAGGCATTCACAAGTCCATAGTGCACAACACTCATTCAGTCTCCATCCTTCTCAACACACAATAAAACCCCTCCCAGAGGAATGTGGCAGAGATTAGCAAGGCCAATCACACACTGCCTCGGCTACATATTATTGTAAAAGTCAGGTAACTCATCTTGGCATTGGCTATGCGACAAAGTGACAGTTAACAATGTTTTAGTGTTGCTGACAACCATGTACACAGGATTCTCACACCCCTCTGAATATAACCACAATGTACTAAACTCTAATATGTAACACTTTAATTAGCAAACTAAAGCTGGGTAGTTAGCCAGCTAGCTTTTTCACTTTATGACAAATTGTCTAGCAAACTTTTACCTTAAAAACAACCCTTTAGTTTCCCAGCTGACAGATTTCCCCTGTAATCAGATCTCTACAAAAATTAACAAATTAAGAATCCTGTCCAACTTGTAATGTAACTAGTGTAAAGTGCAACTTAAGTATATTTTTATTGATGTTTACGCATAGTCGAGGCCTGATCACATTAAATATCAAAAATATATTTTAATAATCATTACCAAAAATAGTTTTTCCTAATTTGCATTATTTTTGGGGCAAATCCAAAATATTGCTAAATACTGTAATAATCAGCAGTTTTCATTAAAACTAAAAATATTTTACAAAATGTTTTGGTAATTGAAATAGTGTAAATTAAATATAAATATTCTATGAAAAATAGCAATGATTCCTGGAAACACTAGAATAAAATAAAATGTTAAAAATCTCATGAACTTACTAAAATACTACTAAATAAATACTACTATTTAAATTAAAATGAAAACTATAAATATAAAAGAGAGAATTCAAAATATTAATAAATACTATAATCATATATTAATAACAGTAAAAAATAACAACACTGGTAATAATGAGAAAAGTAAATAAATAGCCTTTTCACTACATGATAAATCGGCTGGGAAACTTTCACCTTACACTCTCATAAAAAATAAATTTAAAAAAAGGGTGCAAATCCATCACTGCTGCGGTACCATTTCAAAACATTTTGAGGTACTTGTATGTGCCACTTAAAATAAGGTACAATAATATTTGTTCCTTAGGGTACCACCCTAGTGACGGATGTAATCAGAACTCTACAAAAATAAAATGAACTGCAACTTGATTATATAATTTTATTGATGGTTAAGCAGACTGTCATATTATTGGCAGACTGAATATTTGGTCCAATGATATTTTAATTTGAATGAACGGTTGTTAATGCAGCTGGTTTTAAATTATACAATGCATTCCTTGTTACAGGTACATAACTTTTTTCATCTTTACCATAGGTCTGGAACTAAATAAAATCCAAATTAAACAAATAAACCAAAACTTGTTCTGCGATTTTTAAAACAGGCTTTCATGATACCTTATATAGCATAGCACTTAATTAACCAGAATGCATTTTTAGCCTAGGCCTGAGGTGGCATGGCCACATACCACCCACAGTCTGCTCAATGACCATAGGATGCATATCACACACAAAACTTGAAAGCACTTTCTCAGTCTGAGAAGTAACCTACAACACTTTTTTTTTTATCGCTTGACAACAAAGTCAAGTTTATAAGGTCCAAGGCTGACACAATGAGTGCTTTAAATAATCACTACATTTGCCAAAGACATCAAATCTTTGAAACACTCTCAGGTTTGTTTGTGCCACTTAACAGTACAAGTAGATCAGCACTGTATATTCAGCTTTGTTTATCAGAAACAGATCACAACATTATACATATATCTTTTTTGTATTTTATGGCCAAACTTTCACTAAGAGTACCATCATTTGAAATAATTTCAGTTTATTATTGCTCTATCACCTCCTAAAATGCACACAAAAACAAATCAACCTGCAGGCTGGTCGCTTTATGTTCAGTCAGACAGTTTCTTCCCGTCCAGGCCTTTTCCAATGTGATTAAACATGAGCAAGACTGCTTTTTCCTGAAACTTTATTGTTCTGCTCAACATCACCTTTCAGGTTCTGAGGCCAATACTGTAGTCCATGGACTGCTGAACATATATGAGCAAAACCAACATTACACTGCAAGATGAATCAGAAAATATTCTGTGAATTCATCACAAAGCTAGTATTTTTATGATCAGTTAAACAAAAAAAACACTACTTCACAATATACTCTTGATAAGAAAAACTGAAAGGTAGGCTGCTGTAAGTTCACATCTGCATTGTGAAAGTGAGGGCTGATAAAGAGAGAAGACAGATATAATACAAAGGGGGAGCTGAGAAAAGCTGCGTGGCTTTGGTGGGTACTTAAAATCCCTTTTAGCCAACATCACCCACAGTTCTTGGGTGGCTGGGTTACACAAGTACATAAACAAATCTCAGTGTGTCTAAAGTAACTCACACAATGTGGCACGCTCATCGGTCACCACCAACTCAACTCTATTGCTTCACACGTTAAGCCACAAAGAACGTCAAACTTGGGAAAAATAAAAAATATATATATGAATTTATATATATTTATCTCTATATATTCTATATTCTCTGAAACAGCAGGATTAAAAAGCTTTCGACAACCTATCAAGTGATAACCTGCAAAATGAAGCAGAGTCGAGTCCGAGGTTCTACCAAAAGGTCAGTCAATGCACATGACGAGGGAGGAAAGGTGCAAAAGGCCAACAAGCTTCAATCATTTCCACGCAGGTTATGAAGTAATGAAGCAATTCTTTAAAACATGATCCACACACATTCATCATCAGTCAAATATATCCTCAATTAAAGCCAGTGATGATCCGTAAACCCATACCAGGGGCTGCAGTGGTCTCATGTAGCCAAGTTTATCAACTGTATCCTGGTCTCAGGGCATCTGGCGTTAGCAAACCTCACTCGAATTCACAGCCGACTTGAAAAGGCACCACAGCACAACATCCTCGGTTTCAAAATGAACACCAACAGCCACCACAAAAAAGTGAGAAAAAATGTTTTTTTTTATTGTATGATGCGTATTTTGTTATTGTTGTGTTTAAGTTTGTTTTTAAAACTGGAACTCCATTCTTTCCCTCATATATTAGAATTAAAGCATGTTTGTAATGCTTTTGGTTGTACTGTGTTTCCATTGTGTTGTGACTCTTGAAAGACTGTCCGTTGAATCTCTTGGTTTCACTGGAACAAAAGAAACATGACCAATGTCTTGTGTAGAACAGGTGCTCTTTCCTCAGGTGGGAAGACTACCACGGGTCCTCAAGGTCAGCACCACTCTGCAGAGAAAGACCACAAAGAGAAGACCATCAGCAGGCGAAGGCATTAGTCTTTGACACAAGTTAAATTATTAAATACACTACTGGTCAAACGTTTGTGGTTTGATTTTTTAAAACAAAAAATTAATGCAAGGATTTTTTATTAATCAAGGATGCATTAATTATTTAAAAGAGACAGGTAACAACAATGTTACAAAATATTTCTCTCTCAAATAAATGCTGTTATTTTAAACTTTCTATTCATCAAACAATCATTAACGGGTCCTCAAGGTCAGCACCACTCTGCAGAGAAAGACCACAAAGAGAAGACCATCAGCAGGCGAAGGCATTAGTCTTTGACACAAGTTAAATTATTAAATACACTACTGGTCAAACGTTTGTGGTTTGATTTTTTAAAACAAAAAATTAATGCAAGGATTTTTTATTAATCAAGGATGCATTAATTATTTAAAAGAGACCGGTAACAACAATGTTACAAAATATTTCTATCTCAAATAAATGCTGTTATTTTAAACTTTCCATTCATCAAACAATCATTAATATATATATATATATATATATATAGTGGTGTGAAAGTGTTGGCCCCCTTCCTGATTTCTTATAATTTTGCATGTTTGTCACACTTTAATGTTTCAGATCATCAAATAAATTTAAATGACTTGCTGTGATAAATGGAACCATGAATTCTGCGGTTTACCAAAAAATCCTGAAGGAAAATGTCTGGCCATCTGTTCGTGACCTCAAGCTGAAGCAAACTTGGGTTCTGCAGCAGGACAATGATCGAAAACACACCAGCAAGTCCACCTCTGAATGGCTGAAGAACAACAAAATGAAGACTTGAGTGGCCTAGTCAAAGTCCTGACCTGAATCCTATTGAGATGCTGTGGCATGACCTTAAAAAGGCGGTTCATGCTCGAAAACCCTCCAATGTGGCTGAATTACAACAATTCTGCATAGATGAGTGGACCAAAATTCCTCCACAGCGCTGTAACAGATTCATTGCATGTTATCGCAAACGCTTGATTGCAGTTGTTGCTGCTAAGGGTGGCCCAACCAGTTATTAGGTTTATGGGGCAAACACTTTTTCACACAGGGCCATGTAGTTTTGGATTTTGTTTTCCCTTAATAATAAAAACCTTCATTTAAAAACTGCACGTTGTGTTTACTTGTGTTGTCTTTGACTAATATTTAAATTTATTTGATCTGAAACATTAAAGTGTGACAAACATGCAAAAAAATAAGAAATCAGGAAGGGGACCAACACTTTTTCACACCACTGTATATATATATTGAGCAGCACAACGGTTTTCAACATTAATAATAATTTTTCTTGAGCAGCAAATCAGCATATTAACATGATTTCTAAAGAATCATTGGCTGCTGAAATGTAATAAATTACATTTTAAATACATAAAAATAGAAAACAGTTATTTTAAATTGTAATATTTCACAATATTAAGGTTTTTGTTGTATTTTTGATCAAATAAATGCAGCCTTACTAAATGCATACTTGAGGAAAAAAATTATCTAAACTTGGACCTACAGTATGATTATTTAAAATAGGTTAAATCCTTTTTATTAAAATATACACTGAATGTTTCAGGATGTACAAACAATTATTCAGCAAAGTATAAGTTCTCTCAACTGAATGTCTATCAAGTCCTAAACTTTTAAACCACAAATTAATGTACACATTTAAAATAATCTAATTTTAATTACACAATTGCCCCCAACCTCCTGTTGAAAGAAAAAAAAAGGATCATAAAAAGCACTTGGACAGTGAGAAAACTTATTACAATTGTCCCTGGTCTCCCATGCTCCATTACAGCTAACCATTACAGTGATTACTCAACCTTGAAACCAGAATTGTGCAGTTCTTGTTTCTTTGTCTAATATTTTATTTGCAGCAGTAAAACTGTGATTTAATCATTTCTTCACTCAAGATCAAACAATTAACTGTTGTACAAGGCACAGACACGATTCAGAGAAGGAAAGCCAATGGGATAATCGGATTGTGCATTTTTGATTTTTTATGTTTTTTCCCCCTTCTTCTATTGTGTTATTTTCTACTCTCACTTCCCAGCAGCCAAAGTTACACATCTGCATCACAGAGAAAAAAATATGCACGTGCAAAGCATCAACATGAAAGACTGTGGAAAATTGATCCAGGCCCTTGTAAAATGGCTGATTAGAGAGTAATATTTTTGGTCCCTAATATGATTACTTTTCAAGGACACATCCAAGTAAGCCATTTCTTGACATAGAACATACAAGTGCAAGTCATCTGCATTTATTGACAGTAACACTGTTGCTTTGGTAATGTAAAACACAAATAAAGAAGTGAATTATCTACAGGGCGTGAATATTTAACAGGTAAGAGTATACAATATAACTATACATTGACAGTTTGGTCACACTGCAAACCAGCAACTAATTAAATGGAAAATTCCCACTACTGATGCATTCATAAGATCAGTACATATGGGGTAGATTAGGGGATTTTCCACCACAATGTTCAAACAAACTCAAGTCACTCTTTCTGCAGAAAACATTAGTATCAATTAGTAATCAACTTACCAAATGAAACAGCTGGGCTGCATTAATCAAAGGGTGAACACATACATCATTAGATCTATTAATGTGCCTCAATATGTTTGTTCTTGATACGAATACCATCCTTGCTTTATACATTTGATCAAGAATATTGTAGTCAATTACAGCAGATATATAACTGCAAACTGTTCATCTTGCTGTAAAAAAAACAGGTTATGGTACTATAAAAAATGAGGGGTGGACAGTGTATAAATCTTACTACACACTGTCACTGGCTATCACTGAGAAACACAAGGATCTAGTCTACTCCTCTCAACAAGCCAACAAAACATCACTCACTGACACTGATGAGGCCTAGGAATGTCAAAAGTACCAAGTTGATACTAAAAATTAAATAATATAAATGCTGTCAAACAGAACTGGTTTTATGTTAATAAAATGAATCAAACCACAATGCTGACAGGGGGAAAAAACATTCTTCATTAGTTTCTTTATTAATGTTAACTTGAATAATTACTTGGAAATACTAGACTTTCTTTGAGCTATACTTGAAAGTGACCATACTATTTAAAAGTTTCGGGTTGAGAAGACATTGTAATGTCTTATACTCACCAAAGCTGCGATTATTTGATCAAAAATACAGTAAAAACAGCAATATTGTGAAGTATTATTACAATTGAAAAACTTTTCTATTTAATATATTTTAAAATGTCTTTCTTTCAGCAGCCACTACGCCAGTCACATGATCCTTCAGAAATCACTCTAATATACTGATCTGCTGCTCAAACTTTTATGATTATCATTGTTGAAAACAGTTTTGTAGCTTAATATTTTTGTGGAACCTGAGATACATTTAAGTTCACAAAAACTGCATTTATTTGAAATAGAAAACTTTTGTAACATTATAAATGACTTTACTGTGTAATTAAATTACAAAAATAATAAAAGTATAAAAGTAATGAAAGCACAATTTCTTAAAAAAAAAAAAAAAAAAAACATCTTACTGACCCCAAACATTTTAAAGGTAGTGCACATTCCTTTGTTTCAGTTAAATTTGTTAATATATTACGTTTTTTTTTTTTTTTTTACTTTAATTAGATTTTACTTTGGTATCAAGAATCCTGAAATCTCTCTGCCACTGATATTGACTACTGACATTTTGGTATCGTGACAACCCTAATGATGAGAGTCCAAGAGCGTAGAGAACACAATCTCTCTCTCTCTCTCTCTCTCTCTCTCTCACACACACATACCAAATATCTCTTGGATGTCCAATAGGGGAGAGGGGAACACTTGGATCAAAACTCCAGCTTTGTCCAACTGGTGTCCAGACCAACACATGAGAATGTGTCACACTAATTAGACATACAAAGCTAAGTGACACATTCTTCTGAGGTGTTTGCCTCACACACACACAAACGTTCATGTTCATGGGTACAACAACTGGACAGGTAACCAAATGCAGGCTTTAGTTCAGTTTTGCCAGATCACACATTGAGCAGTGGCATTATCATCATGAGACATGGCTGAAGAGTTCATGATAGCATAAAAAGCTAATAAAATAACATGCTTGTGTGCTCACTAATCAAGTCTGATTGGTCATGCTTACAGGCTGATAGATCTCAGTTCAACACCTTGATGGGATGTATTGGGAGTGTTTGTGATGTGGTGATCTCAACCGCTGTGCTTTGGGGCAGAGGATTATTTGAATGAGCTCATTACACCTGTGATTTGAGCAGGATGTTTTACTATCAGCAGTAAATAAATGAGCGAAGTGTGGGATGGAGAAAGCAAACACTCAGGAGAGAGAAAGTAACAATATGTGATTCGCAGTTGATGGATGTTAATACCAGGTATAAATGGTAGAGTGAGCGAGGCGCAGAACAAGGCTACGTCTCATGATGAGATGAGTCCAATAGGTCAAGGGGAAGTTAAAACTTCTACATTTTAATGGTAAGACCAGGGGCTGGCATGTACTGCTGTCATCACACCAGGAGGTTCTAGACCTTTAAAAAGCAAGACTCCATTCATACTCACACCATCCTCTTCTCTTTGGGGGTTCAACCGGTTGTACACTGCTTCAATAACACTGTGCCTGTAAAGAAAGACAACAGACAACATATTAGAAAAAAAAAATTTTTTTGGGGTGAAATGGTGTACAGGGTGTAGAGGTTATAGATCAAGATTGGATTCTGGGTCAAGCCCATTTGGGACTAAACCAGCAAACTTTGTTAGCATTCCAGATCCTTAAATATTAGACTCACTACCCTGTGTCCCATAAACGAGTTTGTGCAGGTGTAAACCTCTGTGTGGTTTGTAACCATGATATTTACTTACTTGCTGGCAAGGCCGCCCCCTGGTGGGAGATTGGGGATGCTTTCTTGGGACAGGCTGCTAATGACATGTGCCAGCTCAGGCACACCTTCTTCCCCTGCTTTCTCAATGAGCTCTGATTAGGAAGCCGAAAGGATAAACCACAGGTTAAAACTGGCTAAATATGTATTTGACTACTCCATTTAATGGAACACTACAATGTACGCAGGACAACTTGGTGAATATGTGAACTACTGTACGTGTATGAAGAAATGAGCAATGCAGTATGGATACTACTAGTGTAGAGCATTGGTGTCACCTGGTATTATATTAAAAAAGAGAAATGGGAGATAAAGACTTAAAAAAGAAAAAAACAGACACTGAGAGACAAGAGTGAGACTCTAGAAGGAAAGTCTGTGGCCCAGTTGGGCTGCTCTGGGCCTGTTGCCAGTTAGATGTTCAGCCAGCACATTCCTCACCAGAGCAGCAGTGCCGACGACTCCCTCAGGCCTTCTCAGCACCCAGCCAAACATTACAACAACGTTAAATGAACTTTTGCCCAAAGCTCAAGGCCAAGAGTTTACATAACCCCTAAACCCCCACAAAACCAACAACTACTCGCCAGAATATGTCCAATGTACAATACAGCAAGGAAAGGCCAGTGGGAAAAAAGTAAAAATAAACAGTATCAGGCTATTGAGAGATGATATAATAGGAAGAGAGAAAGATTAAGACATTTCTCTTTAATAAAATGCCTATTTTCTGAAATCAATTCAATTCTTTTGAATTATTTATTTTTGAATTTGACTACACTGGTTGTGTTTGTTTCTCCGTAAATGCTTGCAGCAAATCAAAAGAAAAAGGTTTCCTGTCATTAGATTTGGATTGAGCATTGCTGCAGGAAAGTGGTGCAGAAAACACTGATATAGGCAATATTTTGTATAAATTATAAAAGCATTATCTTTTAAAAAAAGGGCCCAAACTACGCAGAGCAAGTTTAATAGAGCAGAATCAATATCAGTTTGTTGATTAAATTGATATTTTATCCAGCTCTGATATTAAATATAAACATAACACTAGTAATTTAAGTAACCTTATTGTTTATTTGACTATTTTCAATACATTGAATAATTGTTACTGCTGACAGATACCATAACAACGATGAACACCATCTTTATCACTTTATTTGTGTCTTTATTCAATTTTTTTTATTTGTTCTATTGCATGTTAGAATGTTGGTATAACATCCCCCCCTAAGTAAGCCCACTCCCACTAGTATTTGTAAATATTAAGCCGCAAAACGATTAATATTTAAATATGAATTCTGCGTGTCTCTGTGTTAATGAATGGCGCAGACGCGCGGTTTTGTGTAGGACTCGTACTGAAACGCTCGTGACGCTTCCGGTGATATTAACCTCTGCCGTCTCACTAATGAGGACATAAATACATGAACAACATCTCCAGAACTGCTCTGAGAGTCACTTCATGAGCATTTGACTGTTTCATTTGAGTAAAACTATCATCATGTCATACACACACAGAAATGTAATGGTATTCACGGCAACCCGTCAAAATAAAAGTTCGGTTTAACTTGAGGGCATTGGCTGTTACTCACATATTACTACTGTTGAGTAGAATGTACGTAACAGACTGCTACTACTACTACTAAAATGATTAAAACCTTATTTTTAAGGAATACGCATTCAATATTTCTTCAATGTTTTAATTGTAATATTAAATTACCTTTATTTTCCAAAAAATTTAATTTGTTTAATTTTCATTACTTAAAAGATAGATTAAATGAATGTTTTATGCCTTAAAACAAAATGTAAATACACAACACAGAATTTCTGAGCAAAAAAATCAAAAAGCTATTGTAAGAATAAATGAAACTTGTTTTATGCTGTCAAATTAGACATGCTAAAACAGAATTTGGTTACAATAAAACATAAGGTTGGACAAATAAAACATTTCATAGGGCCCTAAACGTAATATTTGTTAAGATTTTTTATAAATTGATGTTCAATTGTTTAAGTTTCATGATTTTAATTAATTAGACATGCTTTTTGATTACTAAAATGTAATTTAATCATTAAAAAGGAGTCCAGAAAAAAAAAAAAACTATTTCTATTTCAGAAAAATTCTGTTCTTCTTAACTTTCTATTCATCAAAGAAACCTGAAAAAATTATATTTAATTCTAAATTTCAACATAATAATAAATTATTTTTGAGCAGCAAATCAGAATATTAGAATGATTTCTGAAGGATCATGTGACTGGAGTAATGATGCAAAAAATATAGCTTTGAAATCACAGGAATAAATTACATTTTAAAATATATTTCAAAATGTTACTGTTTTTGCTGTATTTTGGGGGGGAAAAAATGCAGGATTGAAAGAATTTCACATTTCTTGTTTGAATGAAGGCTAAATACAACAATAAACATTAATTTACTTGTGCTGGGTTTTTTTTCTAAAATATTATATGGTTTTATATGAGGTGTCAGAGACTTGGCAAATTCATTTTTCATAAGTTTGTATGCACAGACATCTGTTGTGGCGTTCTTGGCAGTTTTTACGAGGCTTTTTTTAATAGTGTTCATATCGATATCGGAATTATATCATATTGACTGAAATTAAGAAATATATCGTGATATACATTTTTGCCTTATCGTCCAGCCCTACGTAAACCTAGGGGAAACACTGTAATCCTATGGTGGACTAACTAGGCATCATGTGGCGGGTCAATGAGCTCTTCTATTCCTCACCTTCCACACGTGACTCAAGGTACTTGTCCAACTCAGCATCTCTCTTTAACGCCTCCTCTGACACCTGGGGTGCATTTGGCAAACAGACTAATACAATACTCATATTATCTCGACTTCCCTGAAGGAGAAAAAGAAAGAAGAAAAAAACGAAATAATCTCACCTGAGGATAAAACATTCATGCCAAGTAAAAAGTGAGAGTAAGCAACTGTACCTTATGTAGACAGGTATCTACAACCTCATTGCACACTCTCTCCAGGTCATCTGTCACCTCCAGCCTCGATCGCACAAAGGCACACAGCTCCTCGTTGCTCATCACATCCCAAATACCGTCACACGCCAGCACCACAAATTCATCCTCCGCATCTGACCGAGCAATTTCAAATACTTCAGGCTCCGGTGACACGAGCTGCTCTGTGGGGCCCTTGCCCTCTACACACTTGTAGTCATAGTCACCCAGTGCTCGGGATACAGCCAGCGATCCATTAACCCTCTGGATCATCACAGAGCCACCTGCATTCTGTATACGCTCCTTCTCCCGTGGGTCGCAGGGCTTATGGTCCAGCGTGGAGAAGCAGACGTGCGCGTTGCGGCAGAGAAGGGCCCGTGAGTCCCCGCAGTTAATGAAGTACAGATGTTCTGGAGAGAGCAGCACAGCCACCGCGGTGGAGCCACTGCGGTCCATGCCGTTTCGGAGGTCTGTGAAGCTGCGCATGTGTTCATCAATCCTCAGGAAGCCGGCGCGGATACCCCTCTTCACCGCTTCTATGGCTGGTGTCTCGGGTGCTGGAGTTCCAGCCTTCCGCAGTTCATCTGCTGACCCCGCAGCGACGATATGTTCCAATAGGTGTTTGGAACTGTAGTTAGCAACACGCGAGCCGGCATGCCCGTCATAGACGGCAAAGAAGGACCAGTCGTCCAGGCCATGTGGCAGGCCTACGGCTGCAGTGTGCGCATCCTCCATCTCCACCCTCCATCCCTGCATGCTGCTGAGGCCAAAATGCAGGCCGTTCCCTTCCCCATGCGCATTGTATTTCTCTGTTTTGGGCTTATCTAAAAACGCCCCCATGGCTCAGGCCACCGTCTGCAGAGACAGAGAAAAAACCATAGTAGGTACACAAGACACATTGAAAAATACATGGAAAGTGGGTTTACAGCACAAAAGAAACACTGAAACATCTTTTAAAAGCTTCATATATATGTGTAATCGATGAAGCTTAAATGCATAAGCTAACATTAAGCATCCCCTCACACTCCATCAACGCTGTAAAGGCACACACCAAGAGCTGCTTTAGACATGAAGATTCGAATTAGAGGGGGAAAAAAACAGCACATATGGTCCAAAAACGCCCACTGCGGAGTGAACACAAATGTGGAAGGTTTAGTCTTAGTGCTCAATAGACAGATTTCTATTAACAACAAACTTTGAGTGAAATAAACATGTAGAGATTCTTGGCCCTTAAGCCACAGAGTGGGCGTAGCTTCTGAAAATCTACAAACTGCAGCCCAGATAATCTAATTGCCTGTGTAGGGCTGCTTTACTGCTACAGCAGCGTATCCTGCACTGCTATTCAAGCATTAGCCACAGAAAAATATATATTACACTGCTCTATGAAAGCAGTGTAGTGGTGCTTCATTGCTGAGGTGAATCAAACTACTGATGAATCAAATTCTGCAGTCAAATATTTTCGTTATTGAGAGATAAACAGCATATCTGATCAGTTTTATATGGTACAACATTTCATGTCCATTTATTTGTTCAGTAGGTGTGTAAAAAGGTGGAAAATCACCCAATGAGGGTTTGTTTTGTGATAACGACCGGCTGTATATTATCCCTTACACATTTTGTGTCCCGTTTAAGAACAAATCACTTGACTGGTGTGATTTTGAAAAGAATATGAAAATTCAGAATACATGACAAAATATAGAATTATAGAACTACATGGCAAAATCAGGTTTGAAAGGTAAACTTCTGGTTTGTCCTCTTATTATCAAGTTTCAAGCTGATTAAAGTAAAAAATACATATTAAAAAACAAACAAAAAAAACAATAAAAAAGCACATCTAAATATAGGGCTGGGTATCGAAATTGAACATTTTTAGGCACTGACCGAATTGCCTCGATTCCATCTAAAAATATCTTGTCGTTCAGTACCAAATTTCGGTACCTAAGTGGATAATCTCATTAACGTCAGTGAGCTAATAAGCATGCAGCATGCTTGATGTGCCTAAATCAAGTGCTGGTGATTGGCTCTGGTGAGGCATCCAGGAAAAACACTAGTTTACACCGGTTCTGCCCAGAGACAGAATGTGTGTCAGCCTCCCAACCCCAATAGATTGAAGGTTACGTTACACTAGTGCGTTTTTGTTTCAATTTATTTATTTATGTTTTAATACCATATCAGCAACTAAGGCTATATTCATGGCAACATTAACAATATCATTTCAATACATAATTTACAATAACATAACATTTTCTTAGGAAACAATCATTATACAAAAGCATACAAGAAACAACAATAGCACTGATGAAAATCATATACAATCTTTCAGTTTAATCAGTAATTAAAATTCTAAAATTCTTCCAGGAGATACTTTTTTAAAAATGTCTTTTGCGTTTTTGTTTTAAAATGGCTTTTTAAAATGAAAACAATCCTTGTCCATACTGGCGTTTCCACTGCATTTCAGAAAAGATCTCCGGTCAACACTACACGACTGAAAATGCATGCTATGTGACCATTCATGCACACTATAGCATCATGCTACATAAGACAATTTAAAAGATTTATACTACGCTTTTAATCAAAACTCACTTTAAACCACAAAGAATGTTTGTAATAACTTCCAATTGTGATCTAATGTGGGTTTTGGCAATATAATGTTGCTGAAATATGCTATTTGTAGCCTTTTAGTGCGCCCTTAGTCCTGTCATTCTTCTGTGATCGCCTTACACCATGTCTACACCGGATGCGACAGTTGTCACACTGCGTCGCTACAGCTAAAATCAGTCAATACTGAACGTGACAAAGTGACCGTTGCAAATCATTTGAATTTTGTGTCAGCATGTCATAAATAGAACGAGGCAGCAGTTTACTGTCAGGGATTTGTCGTGTCGCGCCATGCCAGTGTAGACAGCTTCACTGATTATAATGGGTTCTATAGTATTTTGTCAGGTCGCGCCGCGCCACTCGCGTCCGGTGTAGACACGGTGTTGTTCATCACAAAAGTAGTGTAACTGCAAGTGAAGTGATTGCAGAGATTACACATCTCACCCAGCAGGAAGACAGGATTTGCTTTCCTCAGATGGAACTGACTGTTAAGACACAAAGTCAAGCTGGGACATGTAGCTGTCTGGACTATTTCTATTTTCCAGATGAATCACACTAGACAGTAGGGTTGTGCTGATAGACAATAGTACCGTGTATCGACGATAGTCAGAGATAGACAATAGCAGATGTCTTTGCCAATAGTCAAGACGATATTAGGCTCATTCTCCTATTAATGTATTAAATAATAATAATAATTATTATTATTATTATTATTAAGAGGCCCAGTATAATTCGGCTGTTATCATCAAACTGCCCCGCTTTTTCATTTAGCACTGTATTTCTCTCACACACACGCACACGCACACGCGCGCACGCAAAAGAGGAGCCAGTAGCCGGTGAAGGAGTCTCCAACCACAAACACAGACACATATCGTCTGCGGATATAAGGTATTTCGTCGCACTTTAACAAGTAATCTGAACGGCCTATATACAGGGCTCTAAACTGCGACCAATTTTTGAGAATGTGCGCGTAAAAATGTGACGTGGTCATGGCCGCAGCACATTGTAGCAGGAGTCAGATTTCACTGATCACGTGAAGAGAGGCGCGAGCATGCGGAGGATTTGGTTTACAAACTAGTAAAAGACTGCTTCTTAAACCAGAGAAGGTGAACATGTTGGTATTCTTGTGGAAAAAAAACATGCAAGTCCTGTCAGCGACAGCCAATTTAGTTTTACTTTTCTTTTTGTTTTTGTTTTGAAAAGCTTGTTATCTTTGCCGTTTACCTCGCGTTACGCTATGGAGGCTTTCCTTATTTTATTATTATTATTATTATTTATTTGATTCCTCAGTGTTTGTTAAACATTTGTAATTTATTAGTCGATATATACAGCATGTGATGTATCCTATGGCATGCCTCGTCTTTTTCGTTTTTGTTAATAAAGTTTATGTAAGCTAGTTTGTCATTGTAGCCTACTGTTTTATTGTTGTGGTGCTTTTTAATTAGGAATAACAATAAATCCATCAAAAGTGAAAGGTGTAGATATAAGCAAAACAGTGAAAGTGAAAGCACACGAAAAGAGGAATTCCTGTTCATAAAATTTAAATCACAAATAATGAACGGGTTGAATGTTGAACACTTTTGTTACCCTATAACAATAAACTATGATAAAAGTTCATCAGCATGCATTGATTAATCAAATGCTGTAGCAAAAAAAAAAAATTTGACAAAATTATGTGCTCGTGTGACCAAATGAGAAAGTTAGTCACAAAAGAGCGACAAGTGGGAAGAATGAGTCTAGAGACCTGATATACAGTATGTGCAATATTTTAACCGAGCCCTCACTAACTGAGTTAAATGCCACAGTTATGTTAGAACGCATCTCATTTTTGTTTCTGTGGCGGCGCGTTGGGCTCGTCATGGGGTGCGCGGTCCGGAGCGCTGTATGACTGATGTATCCTTTTAATTTAAATTTACTCCAAATATATGAACTTACCTGTTTTAAATACTTTATATTTAACATTTATGTCCAATATTTAGTGTTAAACTATTGGTCTTTTAAATAAATCTACTTTTGATTTTCACCATTGACTGATTTTGCAGACCTTTTAGACTGATAACGTACGTACTCTGATGTGGCAAACTTGTCGCAGGACGCGCGGTCCTAATAGCTATGTATGACTATGTAGCGTCTCGACCAATCTAACACACTAATTTTAATTTGATTTAACAAATCAATTATTCATTAGGTTAACAAATCGTCACAGTCCCCTCACTCAATAAACTGGATGCCAGGATGTCTGCTGAACACCAGGCCCTCTGGTCTGTGTGTGTGTGTGTGTGTGTGTGTATGTGTATGTTAGACCAGTTTATGTGTTTATGTAGTATGTTAGACTAGTTTAAGTGTTTATGTAGTTAATAAAACCTTACTTGTATCACACTTGACGTGTTCATTGTTTGCTCATAACCGGAGTCAATAATCATGCAGATTTACGTTACAAGCTTATAGAATTGTACAGTAAGAAAGTTATTTCCCTTAACCAGGAAATTAACGTTCTTAGAATTGACAAGACAGTTGACCCTGAGTGGTCAGCTAAATATCTACAGCGGATCTAATATATGAATAGTTAATTATAACTAGTTATGGTTAATTATTCATATTTCCCCATGAGCTGATTCGCTACAACTATTTTAATTATTTTTGTATTTAACATGTTAGTTTATCAGTATTTTTGAAAGTATATTATTTAAATTTGTGGTGCTTCCATAGACTCCCTCTCTCTCGGGTGTTTTAAAACACCAAATAGTTATGAAATAGTCTATGATAAGTATAGAGAGTCTCTCTCTTGCCCCCACCCACCCATGCACGATAATATCGTCTATCGGCGATCTCACGGACTGGCGATATGACGATTTGAAAAATTACCATATCGCCCAACACTACTAGACAGTGAACATACAAAACCAATCATTTAAAAAAAAAAAATCAAAACAGAATTCTGCTCGTCTTTTGCTGAGATGAGGCACTTGGTTACCGTGGTGAGAGTAACAGATACATGGAAACTCCATCCAGAACCTATGCAACCTAGCAAAACCACACATGCTAAAAAACAGGTCTGATTCAGTGAGGAAGAGATGAATCCAAGGATCTATTTACAGGATAGAGTGAAAATGACCCTATTTATTCATGCTGCGGTGACCTCAGTATCACAGGTTTAACGCAACAACGCTAGCAGAGTTCTGGAACGCAGAGCTCACAGTCAGCCAACAGTGAAAGGAGGTCAGCCACGCTGCCAGATCAGTCACACAACAGCTCTT